GCCGAGGAGGAAATAACATTACTCCCATGAGACACTTGGACTTTGCAAAACTTTTTTGTATCAAATGTTTTACTTTTTGCATTTTCATGCCAAGCGCTAATAAACGGTGTGGACTAACTCCAGGAGCCACATGAGATTCAGGGAGCCCAGGGAAACATATTCCTGTGTCAGCTCTCAAACCCTAATCAGAGTTCCAGTTCATGAACCAGCAGGGGGAGACGACTACACACAGCACACACAGACGCACGCGTGTTTCAGTGTGTGAGATTTACAACTGATCAATAGAGCACACCTGCAGCTCTGAGTGATCTTATTAGTGACTACATTTAACAGGCATATTGGTATCCCTGTTACGCTATGTTTCCATTCAATGTTGCAAATTTAAAGGAATAGTTCGCTAAAAAATGAAAATTTTCTGTCATCATTTACTCACCCTAAAGTTGTTTTAAACCTGTATGAGTTTCTTTCTTCTGCTGAACACAAAAGAAGATATTTTGAAGAATGTCGGTAACCAAACAGTTGATGGACCCAATATTATTTTCTTTCCTACTATGGAAGTCAATGGCGTCCGTCAACTGTTCGGTTACCGACATCATTCATCCATTCTTCCTTGCGCATCGAGGGATTTATTCGATAAATGTGTATCCATCATAGTTTACGCACACATCTTCTTATATGATAAATATAAGAAGAATGCCTTTTTTTTTTTTTAAACGCATTATTAGAATTTATGCGCATCTTGGCGTTTCCATTCAGTGTTTTTTATGCGATATGCACATACAAATAGGTGGATGGAAACATAGCTATTGATATACTATTATAGTTTTTGTTAACATTTTGTATTATATTTTCTGTTTAGTTAAAGATTTCGGAATTTTTGTGTTCTTGTAATTTTATTTGCTTTTTATAAATACGTCTATATTTTTTTTTATTAAGTTTTAGTTTTCATTAGTTAAAACTTGTTGCCTTGGGAACTAGCTGACAATTTATTCCCATTTCAAATTTATTTTATTTCAAGTAAGGAAAATGGTTTTAGTTAATGAAAATAACCCTGATAGATGACATTCAGTGCTTTATCAAAAGCATTTGTTACTGGTGAAGAGCTTTTTGTTCCAGCAAAATGTTTGTTTAGGCCTTTGAATAATTCATAGCACGAATGAGACTCACAGCATTTACACCGGCCTGTTGTTGCAGCTGTTCGTGTAAAATCGACTGCAGTGGACACAATGAGAATCCAGTGTGCGGCACAGACGGAAACTCCTACCACAACCCCTGCCTGGTGCGAGAGGCGTCCTGTATGAAGCAGGAACAGATCGATGTGAAACATTTAGGGAGATGCCCAGGTCAGATCCCGTCATAGTAACAGCACTGCAGCTTATACATCAAGACAAATAGTCTCAGATAACTCAATATTTTATCCATAGTTCCTTTATGTGAAATTTTTAATGATAGTGTCTACCAGAGCCAATCCGTGTTTGTTTTTTCATCACTCAGATAAAGACAAAGCTAAGAAAACTGAAGCTGGACTTCCCTACAAGCCAGAATTTACTGGTCAGTGCATTTCTAATCTTCATCTCTAATGGCACCTTAAAATGGTGTTCACAATTTTACTTCCAGAATGTGAAATATTTCATTGTGAAGAATATCTAATGAGAAAAAAAACATGTCTTTTTCCATTTTGTATTGATTGGATAGTGAAATGTGTCTCTATATGACATGTGGTTGGAGGGGTATTATTGTATATTTTTAAAATAAGTATCTTTAGCGCATCAAGGCTGCATTTATTTGATCAAAAATACAGTAACACAGTAATATTGTGAAACATTACCATTTTAAATAACTGTTTTCTGTTTGAAATATGTCTTAAAATGTTATTTATTCATGCGATGCAAAGCTGAATTTCCAGCATCATTACTCCAGTCTTCAGTGTCACATGATCCTTCAGAAATCAGTCTAATATGCAGATTTGCTGCATTTCTTATGTTGAAAACAGATTTCTTATTATTATCTATGTTGAAAACAGTTGTGCTGCTTCATTTCAGGATTCTTAGATGAATAGAAAGTTCAAAAGAACAGAATTTATTTAATTTTTGTAACATTTTAATGCTTTTACTGTCACTTTTGATCAAATGAATGTGTCAAAAAGCATACTGACCCCAAACTTTTAAATGGTATACCCGTGAGTTGTTCCCAATAAGACCAATTTTGAGCTCATGTTGACCAAAAACGATCAGATTCATGTTGTTATTGCAGTTATGTTGTCATGTAGTCAACATATTTTAAGTCAGTTCAGTTGGTCAAAATTCACTTAATAAAAACTTACTGCAAAAGCTTTACTGTGAATTTTGTACTGTTAAATGCATTGTGTTGCCTTTAATCTAGAATCATGGCTGTTTGTAATAATGTAGCTTTTTAACTGTGCTGCGAAGTAAAATGCCTCAAACTGTCACACACCTGTCATAAATTGCACTGCTCAACTATATAGTTCTGTATAATTGAGTTTTAAACAAAGCTAAATCTGGGAGTTAAATGTGCTACTTTCAGCAATAGAGAAGTAAAAGTAGATTGTTCTATTTTAGACCCAGCAAAAGCCGGTGATGGGAAAGGATACGGCTGGATGCCCGTTCCCTGCACAGATGACTACGCCAACTTCTGCGTCCATGGCCAGTGTGAATTTAATTACGGCATCGCCTCCTGCCGGTGAGCGTCTGGTGTTTGGTTGCACAGAACTGTGTTCATCCTATCAGGTGTTCATTAAAAATGACATTTGTTGGAAAATGAGTTTCCGATGGTTTCTTGTATTTCCACAGGTGTGAATCGGGTTACACGGGGACGCAGTGTGAGGAGATCGCCGACTTTAACATCCTGTATGTGGTACCCAGTGGCCAGAAACTTCATTATGTGCTTATAGCTGCTATCATTGGAGCCGTGCAGATCGCCATTATTGTGGCAGTGGTCATGTGTATTACCAGGTGAGTGCTGGAAGAAACTTAACAAGGGGCTACAATAGCATTTGGTAGAGAAAAATGGAAATTTTCGCATCTTCCAAAAGCATGCATTAACGCACTTTCTTAATATTTAAAGTTCGATTTACCTATCATAATACATTTTTTTTTTTTTTTTATACAGGAAATGTCCTAAGAATAATCGTGGAAGGCGGCAAAAGCAGAACTTTTCATCAAACACCGCTTCAAGGATGATGTAGCTTGTTTTTATTTTATTTTTTTATACTTTTTGTACCAAGTGGATTACAGTTTTAATGTGCTTTTTTGTTTTGTGCTTTCTTAACTCTGGACAATAAGGTTATTTTTTATTTTATTTCATTATTTTCTTGAATGGTGCCTTATTGTTTTTTTGTTTTCAGGACATTTTAGGTACTTGATGTCAGTGGCAAACACTGTCAAATGAATGATAAAAGCCAGCTCTTTTTTTTTGTCGAGTTTTTTTGTTTTTATTTTTCCTTTAGGTTGTGGTGCCAGTTTTTTTTTTTTTTACGTATTGTTAGATGTAACTCTCGGCACACAAACTGTACCACAAAAACGGACGTCGTCAATTTTCATGGAATGTTCTTTACTGAAAATATTAACTGTCTTTAACTGCCCTCTTTGATTTGATTTTTATTTCCTCAAATCGAACATAGCTGAACACCAAATTTAATTGGACATGAACAAGTACGCCGACGAAGTGATGACGTTTACAGTTTCTTTTGAAGGGAATTCCAGAGAATGAAATGCAATGTGTTTGACTAGCTAATCTTATCAATGTTGAAATGTTTGTAGTTTTTATGTTCTAATGTTATCGGTGTTGTTAATGTTGAAATGAACATTATTGACATTAATTTAATTCTATGAACTGCATATCGCATGACCTGTGAAACTGTGTCCAGTGCTGTAGATTTAATAAAATTTAATTCTCAGTCTTACAGATATTTTTGTTGCCTGTACACACACAGTGTAAAGTTCGTTGGTAAACCTTGAGTCATTCGGATGTGGCTTGTCCTATGTAATACGATCTCTCAGAGTAATCTAATTATAGGAATGCATTTCATGTCATTTGACCAGTTTAAAATCATTAGCATCATCTTTACAACTTTACAAAATGTCTTAAAGGGATAGTCCGCCCCAAAATCATTTAATGATTTCATGTGGTTCCAAACCTGTAGTGACTTAAGTTCTAATGTGAAACTTGAAAATATTGTGAAAAATGTATTGACTTCCATTGTATGGACAAAAAACGTGTTCAACGGAAGAAAGAAAGTCATACCAGTTCAGAACAACATGAGTAAATTATTTTTGGGCGAACTATCCCTTTAAGAGTGACATCTTGGGTTATCGAATTATTGAATTAACAGATTGCATTGAGAAGCAGCTATTTGAAGAAAAACAAGAAGATCTGATCGCTCACTGTTTGCTCACGTGAGATTTTGTGTGTAAAGAAAGTAGAGTCGAAGAATGAGCTGAATGAAGAGTTCTGGAGAATTAAGTAAGCCTTGGTCAGCTACGATGTGAGTGATGAGTAATTCTAGGCGGCCCAGGGTTTAAGAATAGACTGCAGCTGGTGGCATCATTTCACAAGTTTGTACAGTCCCATCTTAAGGTGGATCATCTTCCCCAGGTTGCAACATGGCAGTCAAGTCATGCTTGAGGCCGAACTTAAAGCATTGTGGATTTGGTTGTAAGCAAACTGCACCCTGAGTTGTGAAATTTCTCAAATTTGTTAATTGTAAAGCTGGAACCTTTTGTCCCAAAGTAGGACAATCAGTTGCCTATTGTCGGTAGAACGTATTGTTTGTGCTATTCTTTGACTGTATCATTAGTTTTTCTTTGAGGAAACTCATCTCCATGTAAAAAAAAATGGTGTGGTTAAGAATCAAGGGGGTTTCCATTATCTCAGCTGTACACGCATCTTCTAAAAACGACGAGGTGTCCGCTTACTGTGGATATTTATAACGCTGAATTCATGGTGAGTTGGTTTGATGCCCCCTTCCAATCCCTCTGCGCTCTTTTCCAGTTGTGTCTGGCCTTTGAACCTTGTGTTCCCTATTTACAAGAAGGGAGGAGCTTCTATATTCTCCAGAACGTTAATGAAGCTCCAGTCAGAGGGCGAGTCCGTCTCATCCGAGAGTCTTCCAGGGCCCACCACGGCCCCACAACCCAGCGTCCCAAACGATAACCCAACACCCTCCTGTGCACCAACAGAAAATACACCAAAGCAGGACCTGAGACCTTCGGCAGTTCTAGTCTAGGGTCCTCACTGTGTTACAAGGACAAGCATGGCTGACAAACTGGGACTGGCGGGTGTGGTGGACGAGCCCAGCGCCCTGAACATCTTCTCTCTGCTGGAGAGGGTGTCCGGGATCATAGACAATGTGCAGGCGTGCCAGCAGCGCATGGAGGAGAGGCAGCTGGAGCTGGAGAACGCTGTGAAGACCATCCAGACAGATGTGGTGAAGCTGACGAAGGAGCACACAGTAACGAGTGGCGCTGTGGAGAAACTCCTGGAGAAAACGCGCAAGGTCAGCTGCCACATCAAGGATGTCCGTGTGCGGGTGGAGAAGCAGAACGTACGTGTCAAGAAGGTGGAGGAAACCCAAGTCGAGCTGCTGAACAAGAACAAGTTCCGTGTCGTCATCTACCAGGTAAGGCCAAATGATCTTGTTGCTTTTTGTGGCATGTTTTCTTCGGACTGGGTTTTTATGGGTTCCATTTGGAGTTTGGATTCCTAAGGCAGGTCTAATTTTGGAAACGTACAACCTTAGAATAGTGGATCGGTTTCTTGTGATCATACCATGCATCGATTTTTTTTTTGGACTCTGAACTTGTCCTACAACATTTCAAACTTATGGAACCGGCCCATCAAAGATAGACAGATTATTACGAGATACATGGTCTTGCATGATCCAAGATAAATCACGATACACTAGAAGGTCATGTGGCCTACAGCCAACAGCAACACAGTAGGAATGTTCTGCCAGGCCCCACTGAGAGGATTAGGTTGGCGGCCATTTTATCTGATATGTGCCAGGATGTCTGGAGTATTAAGCAAATAAACCATGTAATGTGATCCATGAAAGAGTAAAAATGAATTAATATTCACTCTTGAATGTTTTAGAGACTGAACTATGAAGCCTTATTTGGAATATTGCTGTGGATGTAAATGAGGCTAGAGGTCTGAAATGAGATTAAGATCGATTACAGAAATTATGACATCATAGAGGAATGTTTCATGGCTAAATCTGGAAATATTGTTTCATCTGCAATAGATGTTACATTTATAGCTTGAGAATCATTTGGCGTAGCTTGTATTTGGACAATTCAATTACTGTGTACAAAAGCAAGGTACTGCATCAATCAAATCAAATTTGACTTATCCCGTCTATTTTATAAACCGGAGTCATACTTATGGGACCATTATGTCTAAAATAAAATACAATAAAAATGTATTTGTTGCTGTCTACATCTTTTGAAGATTTATCATTGGAAATGTTCTCCATTTGCCATATCAGAGAATTTTTTGGAAAACAGAATGGCTGCTCATGTACGGAGATTAACTCATATTTTCCTTCTCGAACAATACTTTTAATTAGGCTCCTGCCCATCGCCTCTTGTACCATGAGCAGAACAGCTGACAGATTTGTTCAGGGTTATTCTGAGAGCTGCACTGAAGCTTCATGTCCTAATATAGTGTTTTCGCCTCTGACAGAGTGATGGTTTAAAAAGCTGCCGACAGAGTGATTTATAACGATTGAAAAATGGCAGTTTGTTATCAATAGTGTTTTTCTGGCTATAAGAATGCGCATTTTGTTTTGCGACTCGTTATCAGAAGTGTGGACACGCAAAGCAGGGTTCAACTGGCTAATAATAGCCCATGACGACTGACAGTGAAACATGTAACCTTCACTTATTTTGTATGCTTCATAGCGATTTGACTTATATAGCCTACTGGGCCCCGTATAGCCTAATAGCACATCCCGTCCGAAAAATAAAATAAAACATATTACCTGATCTTCATTTGCGGCCAGACGAAGTAGTAGCAGACTCACAACGCAATATTAATTCGGCTGTGATCAACTAGTTTTGTTGTAAACCCAGATTTTACATTACATTAAATTCGATATTCGAAAAATTTTCATAATAAAAAATAAATAAATAATAATATAGCCTGTCAAGAACACTTTTATTCCTACATTTTAAAGTCTGTAAATTATTAAACGGCTTTCTGGAATACTTGATTCTGATTGGTCAGTCGCGAATTCAGCGGGTAACTGACGACCGCGTTTCTTTCACGTCTGTCGTATCATTCCGCGTATGTATCAGTTAGCCACTGTGAAAATTACCTCAGAGCTTAAAGTGAACATACAATAATTTTGTATCTCGTGAAACAGGTTGGTCACATTATCATTCACTTTCTTTTGCTATCATAATTATGCATGATGATTAGGCTATATCGATTATGGCTTTCTTATGCGACAATTTTTGGGCAATTTGTGACCACTTATAATTAAGAAATCTTTTAAGAGTCTTGGTTCTATTTGTTTTGCATAGAGCTATAATGGAACATTTGTATACAATAATCCAAATATGTTGATGGCAATATATTGTACAAAGTAAAACATTTTAACAAACTATAGATAAACTGTGCAAACATGGAAGGGGGTTGTTCAGAATGTAGGCCTATCTTTTTCTTTGTATAGCCTAAAATCATTTGATTAAAGGTCTCAGATCTGCTATATATGGTATGTTTATGGTAAATTTATTGTCTTTCCACAGGGAGATAATGAGGTCCCAGCTGTAGCTGGCTCCAAAGCTTCTCTGAAGGGAGCAGTGGGCGGAGACGCTCCCACAGACTCAGATGCACCGGAGGCCCCGCTCCCAGACTCAGATGAGGAATACATGGTCGTCGAGGAGGCCGACTCATCTACTGCTGCCAAACTAAAGAAGACCGGCCTGAAGCGTATCGAAAGCCTGAAGCAGACCTTCTCGCGTGAGAACATGACTAAGACCAAAGAGAACCTGGGCACCAAGGTCAACAACCTGGGTCAGCGCATAGTATCGGCCGATCGGCGTGAGAGAATCCGCCAGTCCGGGGAACGGCTGAAACAGTCTGGGGAACGTTTCAAGGAAACCATCACGAAAACCGTGCCAGCAAAGCTGAACCTGAAGAAGGAAAGGACGGTGGCTGAAGGTCAGGAAGGAGCAGAAGGGACCACGGAAGGAACGGCACCCGTCCCACCACCCAAGGGTCGCAAGCCAAGCCCTGACGTGGCCTACACTGAGCCGACGGAGAAACAAGAAGGTCCAGAGGAGGGCAAGGGCGAGGAATCGGAAGTGCCGATGTATGATATGAAGCAGCTTTCTTAAAAGGCGAGTCTGACAGTCACATTTGGGAAAGACTAATGTACAGATATGAATTAGATTATGGAGAACTTGAAGGTGGAAAGATTGGGAAGATCAGAGATCTTGCTTCTGAGCATATGGATCAGCGGATTGTGCTAACAATTGAATGAGCGAATTGAGGAAGTTGTACACTACAAACAATATTCGTAGAAATTTTTTTCTTTTGATTTTGTTGTTTACATCTTTTACGGACTGCAGTATGAAGGGTTATGAATGTTAAACCAATGTACTGAGGTGACTAGGCTATGGTTTTAATTTAAAATCAGCTAAAATTAGGGTGCACTCATTGTTTGTTTTTGTTGTCTTCATTCTGCCACCTATGGGTGACACATCATGCAAAATAGAAGGTTTTTGGAAACAAATACTCCACCCACACAGATGTGTCCTACAATACTACTAATAGATATAAGGTGTGTTTGACATCAAAGTACCGCCATATGCTTTCGAATCGCACTCGCGGTTCTTTGATGTCATACACTCCTATAGTGAGCAGTGGTCAGCTGGTCATGTGATCCCAATATTGTGTCCACCATGATGGGAAACATCTTTTTGTAAGACACTGCTGTCTCTCGCTTTTCTTTATTAAGGGGTAAAATGTTTTTGAGGAATAATTACGGAGTGCACCTTTTAAGAATTACATATTATGTAATTAGCATTTTATTTGTTAGGCGTGTGTAAAATTACTTTAAATAACTGAATTTATTAAAAAACAAAAATGTTCTAAGATGGGTAACAGAAGTGCATTTTGGACTTTATCTGGAGAACTATAAATATATTATGGTGTTGACTGACATCCAGCATGTCAACAATAAATGAGTTTAGAATTAGGTTTTTCAATTTAGATGTTATTGTTGTTGTTGTTGTTTTTGGAATATAACATTAACTGTGCAGACAAGTCATTTATAACAATATTTTTCTGTGCCTTTCTGTGTTGTTCATGTAAACTCTAAAAAAACAAACTTTGGTGATAAACCATCACTATTCAGTTGTAGTATTTTTAAATAAACATGTTAACTCAATCAGCTGGTTTCTGAAGAGTTTGTGGAAGAAAATGCATATGGTGTATAACTAGTCATCAAGATTTATTATAAGAGATTTGCAATCAGTCTGTTGTTTAAAGATCTCAGTAGTAAAAACTGCTGCTGTATGGCATGTTATTTCCTATCATGCAGGTGTCCAAACCTTTTTATTGTGGCCAAATGGAGAAAAAAAAAAAGTCAGAGGCCACTTAGTTGTAATGATGATAAAAAGGCTAGACTGCTACCATGAGATTGTCTTTCCTGTTTGTTTTAATCACACCTTGAGCTCTATATGAAATGTTCATGTGTGAATAATAAAGAACGTCACTCAAGAACACTAGTTGTAATGGAACAATTATGTTTCTTCAATACATTGTTTTAAGTCATATATACGCATAGTTCGGACACCAATCAACATCAATGCACTGCAAAAGTAACGATCCCAGATAAGTAGACCACTGTAAGGGGCATTTCTGAATAGTTTAGGAAAAACAGAGATACATTCTATTGCATGTTTGTGCAAAAGAATTGCGTATACTTTTTTATTGCTGCTTTCAAACAAGAATTTTTTTTTTTTGTACAGTAAAATCCTTGCCATCTCAATAAGAAATTCATGTGCGAGTCGTACAAAATGGCAAAATAATTGTAAAATCAATGACAAGAATAGTCATATTATTAATAATAATAAATTTAGCATAAATTCTCACAAACTCCACAAATCAATATCCTAGTTTTATTTATTGATTTGCATTTTTTTTATAACTAGCTTCATGTGTCAAAATAGCTTTGGACTCTTGGAGCAAATTATGGATTTATTTACAGTCACAAAGCAAAGCGACTCCCCTCAGTGTCCAATGGTCCGGGTTCTGGCTGCTCCGGAGCAACAGGGAAAAGATGTATGTCAGGTCAGTTCGTCTTGGTTTCTTGTACACTGGGCAGGAGTACAGATTCATGGGCGGCTTCTTGGTTTCTGTGGTGCTGCTAACCGCATACACATGCGCAACTGGCAACGGTGTGAAGAGAACCTACCAAACAAGTTTATACACATACATACTGTATATCATGGCTTTGCAAATGAAGACAGATTAGTTGACTTTGGGTTCGCAAGATGGTATATGCTTCAGTAGAAATGTTTTTTTTTTATGGGTAGAATAGGTCAAATGGGTTTATGGGTCAAATTAATTGTATCTATTTTGTAATTAACTTCAAATATATATATATATTTATTACATGGCTTGGTTGAATTCTAATGTAGAATGCGGTCTGTTACTTCTATATAACAGACCGCTGCTAAGTACAATACACCGTTGCCATGAAAAACAGAGCGTTGCCATGGACACAATTCAGTTCACTCTGGAGGAGAAACTCCTTTAAATCAATAAACTCCTTTTTAAATCAATATTTTATGTCAAATTATTGATTTATTTGGTAGGTAGCCATGTAATAAGCGAGATAATCTGAAACAGGGCGGTTGTTATAGCGAATACAACCTCTTCGGGCTGATTTAAGACCCCGACGCGAAGCCTGTCAGGGTTGCATTCGCTATAACAACCGCCCTGCTCTACATTATCCCTTACATATATATATATATATATGCATTTTATGATGTATTATGATGTATACAATTAAGCCATTTCATTGACAGCTAAACTACATGGTCAAAAACATGTGCACACCAGGCTCAGAAAACCATTTCTATAAGAAACTCACTTTGTGCACAGGAGCATTTTCATGCTGAAACAGAAAAGGGCTCACAGGAAGTCTGTCTGACTGAGAAGACTATATGGGTCTGTGGAATGTTTGTAGTTGAAACAGCTAAACCTGTTATCCACATACTTTTGGCTATGTATTGTCTTATAATAAATCCTTCCCCTGAATACCTTTGGAGATGATTCTGTCAGTTTTGCATTTCGCCTGTCCCATCCAGCACCATCCAGAAAGAGACCGTAGATGTAGACGCCGCCCACGTCTCCTGGAGGGGGGCCTGTAACATCTTCCTTCATCATACGAGTGACGTCGTTGAGTAGGACGACTGTGTCTAGGGCCCAGCCTTTAGCCAGATTTACTCGAGTGGTCTCTTGTCGCATTGCTGTTAAGAACCCCTTCAATGAAGAAAAGACACTAAATAAGTATGTTACTAGAGAAACCTGATCATTTGCATAGAATGAAAGAGTCAAATGAAACACAAGATGAGGTCCTCAAATCTTTTGCCCCACCTGTGGATTGAAAAACCCTGTGAGCCAAAACTGATGAGGTCGACCACTAAACGTCCAGGTGTGAAACTGCTGGTTCCTCTCAAGGAGTTCAGTGAACCAGAAACCCAGAGACGCAGCATCCCAAGAGATCTTTTGCCATGTATTTGGAACACGAGCATCATACATGCTGTCCAGAGCGTCGCGGAGATCCTCTGACATTATTATAGTCCCTTTGGGATTACAAAATCATTGTATTACAATACAAAAGCAAAATAAGAGTCTTTTTCTGATGATATTGTTGATGTTTATCTTAATAATAAAATATGAAGGTGTTTTCTGTACTGTGGGTGAAAGTTTCTGAAGCTCACCATCAATGGCAAGTTTAAGGTCGGTGAGGGTACTGCGCACACGACCAATGACGCGTTGCATTCTGTCAAGCTCTTGACGAAGGAATATAGTCATGGGCTGGAATGCACCCATTTTTTGTAGACAACTCCTCACCTGCAAAAAGATGAAACAATCATGGATGTGCAGGATATGACTGCAGTAGATGTTGTAGCGACTTTGTGCTGAGTTACAGAAGAAAAAAACGAGCCAAGCACATTTGGATGCGGTACTGGGTGGGTAGACGTGGTCAGTCTGGACTCTACAGATTAAGTCAAGTCAAGTCAAATATATTTATATAGCGCTTTTCACAATACAGATTGTATCAAAGCTGCTTCACAGTATCAATCAAAACAACTTAACAGTGTTTGTTTATTACTGGAAAAAGACATCCAAGTTTGGTAGAGCTGATCAGTGGTATGATGGGTCATTTAATTTGAATATCCCCAACTGAGCAAGCCAAAGGCAACAGTGGCAAGGAACCGAAAAACTCCATCAAGTGACCCGATGGTGTCCTAAAACTCCATCAGATGACCCAATGGAGAAAAAAAAAACCTTGGGAGAACCCAGGCTCAGTCGGGGCCAGTTCTCCTCTGGCGTTTATGAAGTAGAGGCCAAATTTACAGTAATTGTAAGATAAAAATTTTACAACAGGAGGTAGTCAGTAGTCAGTTGTTTTATCTATGCTGATGAGTAAAATATTGAGGCTAATTTGTTAAGTGTTTTCTGTTAATTTCTTTTGCATTGTTATTGTATTTGTATTGTATTTTATTGCAACACTGGCAGATAGAGGAAAGCTTCAGTTTAAGTAGTAATGCGTCATACACAACACAATCGACTCATAATATCAAGCAGGTATTGATATCCTCCAACTGGATGGAATCATAGTCTGAAGCTAAAAAATAGGAGTCTGTTCCCATCATACACTACAAGACTTTCTGTGAAATCTGTCAACTCCGACTGCCCCAAATCTGCTATTGTCGACTCGTCCAGACTGCAAATAGGGGCAAAAATCTGTGCAAAAGTTGTTGTGTATTCCAGCCTTTACTCGCAAACTACAAATCCTGTTCCTCAATAAGGTGAGAACCAGACCGTTTAGAAACATAAATATGCTTGAATTAATTAAAAAGTGTCTTATCCAAGTAGTAATAGAAGATGTTTGTTGTTGTAATGATTAATACAGTAAAATGATGAGTATAGTAGTACATATAGTAGTCGTTATCATATAGTTAGCTAACACATCGCTAACATATAGTTAGCGATCACACTACATGCATCTGAGTCCAACCGAACCATGCCCGAACAACAGGGAGCAATCACACTAGTCAAACAAACCGGACTTTGGGGGTCAAATGTGCTTGAGCACAGTTCAGATCACCTAGTGTGAGAACACCCTAATAAAAAGGTGGCCCAATAACTTCATCTTCACCTCATGTGGCACATAGTCAGCAGGAAGTTTTTCTAACATCTCATTTGCCATTTTCTGGACAGACTCCTCTCTGGTCTCGCCTTCCCCGCTGCTGCTGTCTTTGGGCTGGATGTTGAGGATGGTACTCAGGGTTTCATTAGCCATGTTGGTCTGATAAGTGATGTCAGCATTGGCGTGGAGGCCAAATACCTATTAGAATTAGAATCAATAGTTCAAGTTCAAGTAGTTTATTTGACATTTGCTCAGCTTAAGAGCATTGAAATGCTTAAGACA